TGGAGGCTTTCCCCTGAGAGAGAGGGGCTGAGTATTTAATGCTTTTGCCCCCGCAGTTTTTGATTTTTCGCTGCACCTCATCTAGTAGAAAAGTTAGCATGGGCTTTCCTCACTGAATGTTTCAGCTTTTCTTCTTGCTGTAGCAGCGGGTGCTTTCAGACTTGGCCGGCGTTTGTATTCAACATCGCGCTCGATCTTTGGAAGATTTTTTTGATGTGGACGGTCTGCGTGGCCTAGCCTGGACGAGGCGCCAGTCCGCATACCCGTAGTCCATAGCCGTTTGTCCTGGAAGCGCAGATCTATGATGCGTCATTGCGGATGCGAACGGCCCGAAAAGATAACGCTGGAATCTTCAAGTTCAGCACGTGTATTCGAGACCATTTCGGCTCTGTTTCATTGAGTTGCCTCCAGAGGTCATAGTGCTGTGCAATGGCGTTTCCATTACCGAGACTGGTGCTGGGTGGTGGTGTTGGTTTTTTTTTTCACTGTCAAACGCCGGAGGCGAGTCATTTGATTGGCCATACAGCGTCACATGTTCACAAGCGGTTGCTTGTGCCGGAACGGCCGTGGAACCGGGAGATTGTGCAAAGTATCGAGTGATTTTTGAGGAAGGAAGCGTTAGTGACCTTCGCACAAGGTGGAGCCAATGCGAGCAAAGTCCGCCTCGAGTGGTTGTCATCGGCGCCGGTGTGATGGGTTTGTCGACAGCATGGAGCCTGGCACGTTCTGGTGCGCAGGCGAGAGGCTTTGCTTCGATGGTATGACGATGAAGAAGTAGGGGAGCAAAACAGATTTTGGTCATCTTAGGGATGCTGCTTTTTTCGGTTTTGGTTTTGTAATTTTGTAGACTTTTCAATCGGAGAGAATTGAACAGAGTCCCCTTTCTCTCCTTCCTAAACAGGATCCGGTTGGAAGCATCTTGAAGACTTGGCACTGTTGATGCTCTTCTTGCAAACAGTCCAAAACGAGATCGAACGTCGTGTTCGTGTTTCGATCGTCTGCAGGTGGTAATTTGTGATGGTGGCCACGCCGAGAAGGGTAGTTGGGGAGAATCTCGAATTGCACGTGTTAGCTATGCGGATGATGTTCTGGTGAAACTGGCGCGGCGATCTTACGAGCTGTATGGAGAGTTGGGCAAGACGTCGGCGGAGCCTCTGATGTGTAAAACAGGCTGCCTCGATGTCGGCTTCAAAAGAGAGAGAGCCCATGCTGCATTTCAGGAAAATCCACGCTTGATTTCCCCGCATGTGTAAAGCTCTGTAAAGTTTGTTTGGCGACCGAGGTCTTGACAAGCTCGCGCAAACCTACGATCGTTTGGCTCAGCCTTATCAGCGCCTGAACCACCATGAGGTTCAACAGCGGTGGCCGATGCTGCAATTGTCATCGGAATATGTCGAGGCCAGTGAAACCACAAACACTTACATCAAGTCTTGCGGCACCTGAACCCTTCAAAGTAACTGAACCAACTCACTTAACATGGGCTGCAAGAAAACGGACGGTAAGCCGCCACAGGCCTCTGTGTACTGCCCCCTCGGGGACGCGGTTTGCGCCGGGGTTGTGTTGGAAGCCTTGAAGGCCAGCCGGGAGAATTCAAGAGACTGCAGAGCTTTCGTAAAGCGTTGGAGGGTAAGGCTTCACCGCTTAGGGTTGGTTAGAATCGGTTTTAAGATGCTCGCTGCTCTAAATTGCTCCAACCTCTGATACTCTAGCTCCCGCAAACAAACCCTGGACTTCCCAAACGTTAAAAGCGAATTGAACCCATCAAATCCGAAACCCCTAACTGCTCAATCCCACTGCGCCTGAGAGTATATTGAACCCATCAAATCCGAAACCCCTAACTGCTCAATCCCACTGCGCCTGAGAGTATATCGGATGCTTCCGGCATAAATGTTCTAGGGGCAGCAAGTTGGGCTGCAGTCCAAACAGGGAGCATTCCCCTTGCGGGCCTTGTGATTCAGGTCTTGCGGGTGTCAAGTGATGTGGAACTGTTTTCAGTGACAGTCTTCGGACGCTTAGGTGTTTTTGGTTTGTTACTACATCATTTTGCTGGGTGGTGTCTAAGTCTAAGTGATGGGCCGGGTTTTGGTGGTGGAGGTGTGCCGCCGCGCCGAATCGATGTTCCCATAAGATACCTCAAGGCGCAAGTCTAGGTGTTTGAAGACTCCGGCCTGTCAAACTTTGAGAGGGTGAGGCATCGGGCCATGTTGTTCGGGATCCCTGGCCGTAGGATCAGATATTGAGACACGGGGGACCAGCCGCGATGGTGGACGACCCTGTGGTACAAATTGACCGCCAGAGAAAGACAGTCACTACTGCAGACGGTTCTGTCATTCCCTACTCCAAGCTCGTGGTTGCAGCCGGAATTTGGACCAACCGCACACTGCGGAAAATGTCACTGCCTCTTCTGCCTTTGGTTTCTAGCATCGAGCAGCAAACGTACTACTCAACTCCACCAGGCAAGACATGGTAAGGAATCACGGGGTTTTTCGTCTCTGAGTGCTGCGCATATGCATCCTGTCCCATCTCCCCCCAGGCATGGAAGATCTCTACAGTTCCAGCCACTTGCCCGTAATCATCGAGCACAACCCACCTCCACAGCCGCAGATGAAACGCCGCGGAGGTTACATGATCCCGCACCTGAGCAATGGGGTCCCTGGCTGCAACATAGCAAAGCCGTCGTTGGCCTTGTCACGTTGTCGGGTTTACTTTTCCTAGCCTCACGGGAGGCCCCAGAGATCGAGGGGGTGACGATTTCTGTTGTGCAGAGCTGTGGTGTCCAGCCACGCAGGTAGACGGCGTGAAGTTTGGGATGCATCGGCAAGGACCTTTGCTCGACAACGAGGACCCATAAATCCATTGATTTGCATTTCAGTCGTGCTGTACGGCAACCACTAGGTGTCGCGAGTGCCAACAAGCTTGCTTCTTATTGCATCTAGGTGCGCTTACAGCTACTAACGAAACCTTCAGTGTGACAGCAACAGTCATTGAACCTGCAAATTAGCTTCTTGTTCTAGTCAGCCTGGAGCAGTGTTGTGCTTTGTAGCTGCATTCAGCTGAACGTCGGCAGTCGGAGGCTGAGGTAGGCTTAACTGGCTCAACATTCCGGGGTATCTTAAGGAGCGAGAGGGTCTCAGCTTCCCAAGCTGACTCCGAGACTCGAGACCTATACAAACCGAGGACTTCCCCATGGCACCTGGATCCACAGCAGCCAGTGCGAAACATTTCTCCTGCTCTGCTACCCGTGGTCACGACGTCTGGTGCAGCAGGCATAGAGCGTGCTGTGTAGGCTTCAACGACGATCAATCTGTAGCAGCAGTGGTACACACTACAAACTGAGTTTTGTAATTAAGCTTGCGGACATCATCCCACAACAACCTACCCGAAGTTATCGAGCAGAAAGGTGCTCCGACAGTCAGGAGTGCAACCATCCAAATCACACATGACGTCACTGAGAGCAACATCTCCGAACCATGCCCATCCAAAACCAGGTCACCCTCACTGCAGCACGAGGACGCTCGTCCTCACTATCTAGATAAGACCGTACATCACTATCGACAGCCAGGGGAGGAGGCAGCCAAACATGCCTTGCTCACCACTTGCTGAAGAAGGTTTGGTATTAACAGCTGCAAGCCGGACCCGAACACATACCGAGGCGCCCTCCGTCGAGCTCCGAACCATTTAAAAGGAGGGACGAATGTTGGGTTTCTCTCGCTTGTTCTGTCGGGCCTTTCTTTAACTGTGCGTTTCCCGTTGAGCATTTCCGAAAAAGAACGAAGTGAGGAATCCAAGTAATGAGGGAAGGACGGAAGCAAGCAAGGAATGATTCAATAGAAGGAAGTAAGGGGCTCCAAGAAAAACACAAGGAATGGAAGGACAGTTTAGTATACAGTGTGCACCAGGTGGCCGGAGGAGGAGGATGCCCACCTTCGGGCCGAGACGGACGCTTTCTGCAAGCGCGTCCTTCCTGGGTAGCTTGACATAACGAGGTTTTCAGTTGTGAGAGCGGCGACGGAGTCGAAGAAATGGGCGCAGCATTACATCCCAGTAGGCCGTTGTACAGTTTGTGAACCTGTACAGTTTGCAGCAGTTTCAGCATATTCGGTTTAGGTTTTCTCGATCCAGTTTCATGCTATCTAGTCTGCGAGTTTTCGGAGAACAGGTTTCAGGAGTTTCCGTACGGCTGGTGACTTTCGTTCTTTGGTTCAAAAGTAGGGATGCTGGTGCACACCGTGCGCTGCATGTAACTGTATCTGGTGATTGCGGTGATGCTTAGCATGCTTTCAGCTCCATCCTGGTGCTGGTTCCACATTGAGGCATCCTTCCGGACTGCGTAGGATCGAAGGCTTGCGCGCTTGTGGTGTCTTGGTGGTTTGTGCGGCTGGGCGCTTGTTCCGATTACGCAGCTCAAGGTGCACGGGCGGAGCGGGAAGCAGAAAAACATAAAGTACACCTGAATCTGGGCAAAACACACTGTGTACGCTGCAGAAATTCAGTTCAACAACGGAGATCCGGTACCTAAGTTTTTGTCTTGTCCTGGGAGGTTGGGAGGTGTATGGAGGTGTCGTTCACCAGCATGATAACTGCTAAAGTTTGGCGCCGTACCCGAGGGGCTAGAGCTGTTTACAAACAGCATACGAAGGTGTGGAGACATGCGGGCGTGACTGCTTCCAAGAAACTTCAACTCCACCCGGTCGGCGTGCATAGTCGCCAAGTTCATTGAACGATTTTCTATGCTGTGGCTAGCTGATGAAACAGGTTGATTCCGTTTCCGACCGCTGTTGTGTTCCATGAATTACAAACATTAATTGGGCGTGCTAAGGACTAATAACAAAGAATAACTTAGCAAGCTTTGCTAAGTGACGAAGTTTGAGTGCAGCAGTTCAATCGTAGACTTCGCGGACTTCGCGGCCACCTCAAGGAGTCGTTTCCTTTGATCATCTTTGATGGGTTCTCGTTGGCCCTACAGGCCGGGAAAGAGGCACAGCACTCGGACGGAACAACTGCTTGCCGTGGCTATGACCACGTTTAAGCATCCATCCCTTCCGCGGGCGAGGGAGCCAAAGAGCTGTTGGACGTGGCAGGACTTGGTCAGGGTAAGGTGCTAGTAGACATGCTTGGCTGAAGAAAAGCGCTTCGTTGATCTTCCTGTGTCTTTTTTTCATGTTTAGCACAGAGGCGGAGGTGTGCATGAGTGTGCGAATGAGTGACATCAGCAGTTTGTAGAAGAGGATTGGAACAGCAGTGATCGCGTCTTCGTGACGGAACGGCAGTGAGACATCATGATGGCGGGTGATGATGATGACTGCAATGACGGAAATGAAGTCATCACCACTGCCATGAGTGTGCCAGTCACACATATTCTGAGGTTGATACAGAAGCTTCAGACTTTCGGGAGCATCATTGGTTTTGCTAATATGGCAGTGTAGACGCCACAAAAAAGGACTGCATGCTTGTTCTCCCAGGTTGGATCCGTCAGCGCCCCCTGCCCTGACCATGCGCTGCCCTTATGACCAGCAGCTCTATGCGGACGAGGCCGACGGGTAACTCAAAACGCTCGAAGGTTGTGGCCTGTCGATTCCTCCTCTTCTGTTTGTCAGAATTCGTTCGAACGGTCTCGGTACTGCTGGAAACTTATGTTACACTGATGATGGCGAAGGTTGTGGTGACCATGACGGAATCTAGAACTGTTTCTGAGCCTCGTGATGCAACCTGTTCATCACGGGCAGAATGCGCAGTCCGAAGTGTTGCCCTTTCCGAAATCAGCAACTGTGGACTCCATATAAGTGGTCCCGGACCTTGAACGGCTGTCCGTCAACCCGAACCCCCCAACCTGCGTGTAAACAGGATTTCGTGGTGGGTGTGCACCCGGCGGATCCGGATGTCATTGTTGTCGGTGGCTTTGCTGGCGAGGGCTTCAAATTTGGACCTGCTATCGGCGAGATGGCTGCTTGCCTGGTGACCGGTGCGAGCTTCAAGGCTCGACCCAACACCAGGAAGGGGAACTCGCTTCCATGTTTCTCCTTCATGCCGCTGATCCTGTCATCGCCTCACGTTCTCTTCACCGTGACGACTTATCGACAATATCGGAAGATCTTCACTGCCCTTACCGCCTGCACCACATCACTCCCGTCATCATCTTCATCACTGTTACCCTCATCATCCTCCTCAACCGAGCATAATATCGCTTTTCTGTCAGTATCGTCATCATCGTTGTCATCTGCAGCATCATCGTTGTCACGGCCGCCATCATCGCATCATATTAACTTGTAACTTCCTCTTCATATTCATGAAGCATGCTGGTGCGGACTTCTCTGTTCCCGCGCTTTCTTCTCCACTTTGGCCTCGTCGTCGTTATCGGTCTTGTTTGTGGCTATTGGCGCTGTGGTGAGTTCGTCTTTTTCGTTATGTGTTGTTGTTGTTGTCTTCTTATTTGGAATGCAGGATGCAAGGAGTGTTGCCCCCCTCCCCATCCCCTAACTAGAGCCTAAGGCCTTCAAATAATGAAGTAATGTCCTCAATCCATAGCCTACCGCTGCACGTGGTACCCTAAGACAAGCGCCACTGGCACATGTCCTAACATAAAAACAACAGGATAAGCACAAAAAAACCATCCCAAAACCATTATAATCCACTGCCCGAGAAAACTGCGGCCCTTGACCGTCCCTGTCTGTATTCCGCGTGGTTGCGCATTGAGTGGTTTTCTACTGAGCTTCCAGGTGCCGGAAAGCTACCACCGCTTTCGCCTGAACCGGAAGACTTTGATCTGAGGGGCTCTGAGGGCAATGCATTTCCTGCTAGCGCCAGCCGCTGCGCTTGCACGTGCCTTCGCTGTCAGGTTCCCAAGCAGCCTGAGCAGAGCCCGCGGGATGCCTGGCATCAACGGCAAAATGCTTTGTTGACTCATGTCGTGACATGGGCAGCGGGCGTTTTGCGATGTTTGTTTGCAGGCAAGACAGAAGACACCACAGATGCCTGCAATCATCACCGGCCGAAGCAGTCGTGTGAAGCAGCTCAACCAGAGAGCCTCACCAGCACGTTCCCACACGCAAATGGTGCAGTGCTCAAAGGTCTCGCAAACTCGACTAATTACACAAGACAAGCTGCATCGTGCATAGCATAGCACCCGCATGCACTCAAGCCGCCAGTTGATGTGCAGGCACTACAATCACGAACACACACACACACACACAGATATACACACACACAAAGTAGAGAGGTTTTTGCAGCAATGGCGCGCGCCTTCGTCTACTACTGGATTCCAGGCTTCGCCCTTGTCTGTTACTGCACATGATGGTCGTGATCACGATCATCATCATCATCATCATCACGTTATCTTTTTCGTCATTATCATCATTGCCGCCTTAGTCATCGTCATCGTTATCGTAATCAGCATCATCATCATCATCTTCGTCGTCCTCACTATCTGATTATCAGCATTATCACCATCAGCAGCATCATCATCATCACCGTCGTCGTCATGATCATCATCGTCGTCATCACCATCACCATCACCATCATCAATCACCACCAGTAGTAGTCGTTGAACCTGCAGTAGCCAAGCACGGACTTTCTGCAGTAGTTGCCACTCTCTTAAAATCACATCTGCTGAGGTTCACCATAGGTGAATCAAGACCTGCAGGCGCACACGCATCAATCACCACCAACATCACCGTCATGATCAACTCAATCCTCCTGCTGCTGCTCCTGCTCCTCCTGATCAGAATGATATTATGTGATTGACGCTTCACTGTCCACCTCCCCGTAGCTTTGTCTTTTCATCATCGTCGTAGCCGCTGTCGTCGCCGTTGCGGTCGTCTCCACTGCATCTTCGTGGTCATCGTTGTGGTGGTGTTCGTTGTCATCATGAACATTACTTTCATCATTTTCGTCCCATCATCAACATCATGATTTTTATCATCGTCCTCATCACCGTTATCGTTATCACCATCCTCGTCCATCATCATCATCATCATCATCATCAGACAGCAGCAGCAGCAGCATCATAATGATCGTCGTCGTCGTCGTCGTGGCCGAACTGACCCTCCCCTAGGAAGTAGCCTGGCTTTCTTCTGACTAGTAGTAGAACTGCAGGGGACTGTAGCAACTTGGCTGACGTACTGCTAGTGCTGCTGGCAACGGATATAGTCTTGGTGCCGGCAGTAGAGACACTATCACAGATGGTTGCTCTTAGCAGTGTTTCTAAACTGACTCGTTGTGTTTGTGCACTGATAGTAGTATTCAGACTCATACTCGTGCTAGACGTATGAGAAGACGAGGATAGGTTGTTGTAGTCGCAACAGCTAGCAGCTGCAGCAGTGCATGAGTTCGATTTGGCCATCGCAAAACTGAAAAAAGGTGCGTTAGGAGTTCTGGCCGTACAGCAGCAACACCACTACGAGTGGTGCCGCAATGTAGCAGGTGACAACGACAAGCTTGATCACCCAAATGCTTTCGAGGTTCGGCACGAAGGCAGGAGTTTGCATGGCATTTTGCAGTTGGAGAGCTTGGGAGTGCGGGTTCGGAGCCTCCGGCCCTGTCTCAGGCCGTAGCGACCCGCCATCTGACCAAACAAAAGAGAGAAAAAGTGGTGCTTGATGACAGAATGGGCCACCCAGCTTCTCCAGGACCGGGGGCTAAACTGAAGGAGATCAGAGCTTGCTTTCCACTGCCCGGAGACTGGGCGAAGGAATCAGGAAAGGAGCAGGAGAGACATAGGAGGTTTGGATGCAAAGTGGCACTAGTCGTTGACTTGGGGGTTTGGGTGCAGTGAAGATCCTGAATTCCACCCTAATGCTTCCAGAAGGTGTTAATCCGGAAGCATTTTCTTTCAACCTTGACAGTTAGGGCAGCTTCCTGGTCCAGGTTGTGTTGGGTCGAGGTTTGCGACTTGTTGAATAGCAGGATAGGGGCCCTGCCCGATAGATCAGGAACTGTTTGTGGTTTGACTTTCTGATCGAGGGTGGATAGAGAAACGGCAGCCGCAACACGGAGCCGTGGGTCTGCAAACTCGGCAGAGACATTTCTCCAGTCACAATGAACGGCAGACTTTGAATCCTTACTTCCCATTATACTTCCTCAGAAGGCTTTGTTCGTCGGCTGAGGAGAGTACCACTTCCGGTTCAAGATGAAATGGGAGTTGGCCACACAGCATTCCTGACTGCAAGCCGCGAAGTGACCTGTAGCAACTAAAATCCTGGACCCGACATTAGTTTGAGGATTTATATTGGGACAGCAGCCGCGTCTTTACCCTGCCTTCCATTTGCCAGTTTTCGAATCTTTGTCAAGGGCCATCAATAGGCTTGTTGGCTTCTTGGAATGCTTTTGGTCAAGGCATCTGCGTTCGCTTGCAGACAAGTGCTGTCTTTACAAAGCAAGTTCAATCGGCATAAGTCGGTCAGCATGAAGTTGACTGCTCCTGTCGATTTCAGATTCAAGTTTGGGGTGTAGCGAGCCCCACATGCCAACAGTGAGGCCTCGATAATCCAGCTTTGGGAGTTCTGCCTTCCGTGCGCTCCAGGTCAGGGGCCATCTGGATGGCTAGCGGCCCAGGTTCCGTGTTCAATTTGAAATGTCCGTGCGCCTCGCATGCGGTCTCCTGCTGCTGTCGCCGCAGTTGCAGCCACTTGCTGCGGTTGCTGATGCCTGTGATGACGCTGTTGCCATGGCTGATTACGTAGCTGCAGCAGAGTAAACAGAGTAGAACCTCCGATTCATGCACAAGGTTTCCCGTACTAAGTAGCTCCGAGCTGAGCTTCGCGAGTTTTTCAAGGATGTTACGAACGAAGAGTCCATGGCCGCTCGCCCAGGGATCAGTGCTTTTATTTTTGGTTGGGTTGGATGAGGATGTTTTGCTGTCGTGAACGTGCTTCCTCGGCAATGATTTTGGTGAAGGGCATGCACAAAGGAAGCCAGCAAGAGTAGAGGATAGTGCTTTCCAAGACATCCAGTTGATGAAGCTCGCTGTGCAATGCGAAACATCGTGTATGCAAGCAACGCCCCAGGTGCCGATGTTTGAAGACAAAGTCTTCGCCAAGGCACTCTGCAAGTATGCCTTCAGGCATGTTGTTATTCGGGCTTCCTGCTTAACGGAATTACAGTAGGCTCGCACAACGAACGCAATCAAAAAGCAGCGAGTTTTTCGCTTCTGTCAGTTGTTGGATCCGTGTTCACGGCTTGGAGATTAGATCCCTGACCGAACAGTGTGCGTGAGCTCATTTAGTCTAGAGGATGTGGGGTCTCAGCCTTCAGCCTTCGGCCCCAAGCTGCCGCTTGGATGTCACACTCTGGGATGCACCAGTTTCCGCTCGGCCGATACCGAAGGTTCTCAGAGTACAGTAAAAGTGACGTAGGAGGACATGTTGTCCGCTTCGTGGACTCGAGAGAATTACAGAGTGATGGTGCTGATGCTTGAGATTCGCTTTAGAATGTGACCGAAATACAACCCCAAATCTTGCAGTGCACCTTGAAACCTCTACGAGTAGCAGCAGCAGCAGTAGCAGTAGCAGTAGCAGCAGCAGTAGTAGCAGTAGCAGTATAAATAGCAGTAGCAGTGGCCGTGGCAGTGGCAGTAGCAGTAGCAGTAGCAGCAGCAGCAGCAGGAGGAGGAGGAGGAGGAGTAGTAGTTGTAGCAGTAGCAGTAG